TGCCCCAATATGATGATAGCTCTTCTTCCATTAGTTTACAAGTAAAGATAATTCCAAGGAAAGACCCTTTCACCCTTGGACAGCGGACAGATTTTAGACTCGTATAATAAAGTTATACCATGGCATTCAGTGTAGTTGTTGAGAAGGCAGAATAAATTTAGGCCCAAACATGAGTTATTCCCATGTTTTGCAAATGAAATATTTATAGCACACCCAAATAGATTATTATAAATATTTTAGATATTAATTGATAACTAGATCTTTTATGCGGTCCTTCTCAAATGATTTTTGTTTTAGTTATACTGTACTTATAAAGAGATCTGTTAGGTTGTGTACTGGTGAGGTGATCTGTTGTGTAAAGCAAGTGTGGGGCAATCTATGAAATTAAAACAGTTAGAAATTCTGGGATTTGTTCTTTTAATGCACTCAAATATTTTGATCTGTGTGTTCTTTGCATTCTTTTAGCTGGTCAAATTACCAGCTATCAATTGCAATGAGACTGTCTTTATAGCTACATCTCAAAGTGTACAGCAACTACCTAAGCTCATATCCTGTAAATCTGATGTCATTTAAAACAATGTCTACATGATTTTAGGACAGAAGAGAATACTTGGATATAATTTAACAAATTAATTTGTTACAGAGGCCATTGTCAATGGAATGGATGGGTTGACTAGATAAGAGGGAAAGAGTGAAAGGTATTAGCAAAGTTATTCTCAGATGTAAAGTAAGTATCTATGGCTAATATTGTTGATCATTCATCCTTGACTACCAAATGTAATGCAATCAGGGTTCACCATCATAGAACAAAGTAAATTAGATTGCCAGTCTCTTCATTACCTTGAGGACATTACTAGTCTTACATAGTCCATAATTGTAAATTTTTATAAAGTGATATGTTACAATTATCAAAATAAATATTTTGAACTACACTATTAAAAATGCAGAGTGATTTTGAAATACATTAGACCCTGTAGCTCATTTGCTTTGCCTATTCATTCTCAATTCAAACTAGCTTCTTCATGCAAATTTTTTCATTCATTTTACTTTTCTCCAGTAATATTGTTTTCATTGTAAACGATATAATTTTCTTTCTTTCTATTTTAGTCATTATGAAGATATTTGTTGTGAATTAAGGACAAATTCAAATAACTAAATGCAAGTCATGAGCACAAAGCTGGAACGGAATATAGAAAAGAAGATGAAATACTACCAGAATAACCAAAGGAAAAATTTAAACAATTTTATTTGACAGCTATGGATAGGTTTGTCCTTAAAACTATGCAATACCAAGACAATGTGGAAAAAACTATGAGAAAGTAGAGTGAACTATGTTCTGGATAGGTGGTCAGGCACAAGACTTCACTTCAAGTTATTAACAACTGCTTTCTTTTGCAACATTCATAGACAAGGTAAGCAAAAGAAGATTATATAATTGCATTGTAGACTATATAAAATTATACACTATAGCTGTGAAGGTACAGAAATCTTAAAATAATTGTGAAACTTGCAATCAAATAAGCATGAAATTATCATAATCTCTGAATTTAATATTTTTGAATATAAAGAAATAATGAGAACAATTTATACATCTTAAAATTCACATATATGGACATGCATATATATGTAGACAAAAACATGTATACAAATGTTTCCATAATTTCATTGTTTCATAAAAAAATAATTTCATTTGGTTTAACACTAGGCATTTACCAGACAGTAGTGTTTAGGCTGTGCAAAATAAGTTTTGTTACATGGCAAGTGAGTAGAGATAAAAATACAAAATTGCTAAAAAGCTAAAAAGTGTCTGCTATTTTAAAATATGAAAGAAGAAATTCGAGTCATGTGCTGCAACTAATAGATAAGATCACAAATTTCACTGAAGGATTGAAACAAACCCACCCTTCAACAGCATATACCAAACATATGTCATGAGAATTAGGCAGGTTTACTTTGGTTTTGAATGAATGAACTTACCAGACAATCACTCAGTGATTTGTTTCACTTTGCTTGGACAGGCCCCAAATATGCAAATATGAAGCCACTGGTAAAATCACCAAAGTAATTTCTATTCCTGGCTAAATTTCTTTCATATACATTCAATAGCAGAATATTAGCATAAGCACTAACTTGGGAACAAACTCATAAGAAATAATAATAATGGTTATGCCAAATTGTTTACTTTTGCCACTGTGGAGGAATTTTGACTGACTGAAAAATAATTGTTTTGCATATGGAGATATCTGTTTCTCATTCCTGCAGGAACAGGAATACATCCATAGAATGCTACATTAAGAAAGGAGTTCTCAGGACTACCAACCTTACAGTAGTGGTTGAGTAGCAGTATATTTCTCCTACATAAGAAAATTAATTAATTAATTCAAAAAACAACTGTCCTTTACACACATTTAAGTATATCAGCTTTATATCATGGCTAAACAATACCTTGTGTTAGTCGCATTGAAATGTACTCAGTATACAGGTAAAATTACATTACACATGACATTTGTATGATCCTCCTGAAATCTTAGCTATGGAACTATCGACTCTTTTAATTTATGGCTGGTGACTAGAATTGATTACACACAACTTCCTAGGTCCGTGCTTCAAGAATCAAATAAACAGATTGGTGCAGAAAATCTCAGTCTCTCAGATTCATTTACTTAAGGCAGCATTTTTCTTACATAGAATTCTATTTTATGCTCTAAAAATGAAAATGATTTTTAAAAGGTTATATTCATATTAGTGCAAGTACAATTGCAATTCCAGTCTCATTCTTGGAAAACTATGCATATACACATATACATAAATATAGTGAAATAGATAGTTTATAGATAGTAAAATTGTTATAAGTAATATATAACCTATAATGTAAGCATACTTTATCTTATTCCTATTTATCAGTAGTATTAAATTTTGCCGTAACATCTTTTTTCTCTTCTCCAAGGTATAGGAAAGAACCTTAACAAATGATAAGCAAAACATTAATAGAAGCTGTTGAGTTTTTCAATACTGATGAAAATTAACTTTGCTTCAGACTCAAATCAATGAAAGTTGCTTTTAAGGGACACGGGGAAACATACTGTGGGAGTATAGTAATTTCAGGTATACATTAGATAGATTCAGGGCATTTTAACCCATTAGAAATTCACTCATTTTCCTCAAATTCTAGTTCCATGTATGTATACAGTGTGTAGGACCCCTGATGGTGTAGTGGTCATGCATTGGGCTGTTAACTCCAAGGTCAGCAGTTTGAAACCACCAGCCACCTCAGGAGAAAGATGAGGCTTTCTGTTCGTAGAGGCAACTGTCTTGGAAACCCACAGGGACAGTTCTACCCTGTCATTAATGGTCAGAATCAACTTGATGGCAGTGCGTCCTAGTGATGCTGTAGTCATTAGTCAATGTAATTGTTTCAATCCATCAGCCACTCTTGGGTAGGAAGGTGAGTTTTCCTGTTTCTCAAAGATTTACAGTCTAAGAAACCATGTATATGGTACCTAAGAGTCAGAATCAACTCGAAGATAGTGAGTTCAGTTGGGAAATTTTTACACAGTTGTTGCTCATTAAATAATCCACAGAATTTAAGAAATTTTGTGCAGTATAAGTGTTAAAGAACTTATCTTTCACCAAAGATTTAATTAAGTATATGGATTTTATTTTCTTAAGCAGTAAGTATCCAATAAAAATTGAGTTTGGCTAACATCACAGGCTTGTAAAACATCTTAGTATATAGGCTTCTATCAATCTAAAGTTATACTTGTATCTAAAAAATATTATTTTATAGCTTCACAAATTGGAAAATATTTACATAAAAATAATTTTACAGCTAAACACATTGGAAAATATCAACATAAAAAATAATTCTCAGGAATGCTAGCTTACTTATAAAGTCACTCCATGCCACATACACCTGAAGCTGTCACATGGCTTTCAGCACAGTGAAAAGGTGATTCCAATTGTGGGCCAGAGTTTAATTGTAGGGTGTACTTTGTTATCAACAAGTTGTTCAGTGTTTGGAACAGGCCTATGGTTTATGCTTACACATGCAAATCATTCCATAAACAATTGCAAAATCTCAAGATTTATCTGCACAAGAATCTCTAAATATAAGCCTAAATGTTTGCCTCTCTATATTTTAGAGAAAACAATTCTTTTCCTTATATATTAAAGCTTTATCTTCAAAATCAGAAAGTATTTTATATTTAAGCCTCCATTTCATAAATATGTGTTGTATATGTCATTCTTATTTACAAGAGGTTTCTTCTGCATTTCGCGGTGTAGTGTTCTCTTGGCTAGCCTGAATAGATGTTAATGAATAAAGAAACCAGAGATGTTGGCTTCAGGGCAACTGAGATCCATCTCATTATACAATATTGTTAAGAAGGCTCTTAGGTTTATTCAGGGCAACTATTATACGTGACATACTGTAGATAAAGGTTAAATACATATTGTAATTTAAAAAAATGAAATTGTTTCAAATCAAATACATTCAGGAGAGAATATGTGCTGTCATGAATATAAAGAACTAAGAAAGATGATTTTACGGGTCTTTTTTTCTACAATTTAATTCATTTCACCATATTGATCTTCAAGATGGAATAAATGATATTTTTAGCAAATTTAAAGTAAAACATTAACTCTGTCATTGCATTCCTAACTGGAGATTTACTCTCATTGTGTCCATAGTATATACAGTTTTCAAGACCTGATTACAATGAATCTTATCATAACATAGTAAATATTTATCATACATTATGTAAAATATAATACTTTTCAATCAAAAATCATTTTAAACATGTATTAAAAATAAATGTTTTATAAAACTGCATATTCACTATTTTCAATTGTGAAAAGTAGGGAAATTGAACTAAATTTCTTTCTTAGATATCAAAAAATTATATTTTTTAAATACTTCATTGGCTATTAATGACCAGATTGAAAAGAAGTCATCTACTTACAGTTTGACCTTTTTTATTCATAAGGTTTGAATATATAAATATAATCTCTATAAATTCAAAATAGATTATGGACACAGAAAAGACAGCATGCACCTATGTTTCAATACATAATATAATACATAGCAGAGCAAGTGTATTACATAAGAAAAGTATCTATTATTATGCAGTGCAGTTTATTTTATTAATATATAATATACTATGAGAATT